CATGACTACCTTGAACTTTCAGTGTATTTCCTGTTTAAAGGTGAGCTATTTTATTGCTTTGCCCTTGTTGGCATGAAAGCTGCATAACTAGCATCAACCAAGCCCATTACTTGTCAATGTGAAAATACTGTCCATCATTTGTTGCAATGTATAAATGAGTTTTTACCTTGCCCGTACCATCAAAGAAAGGGAAAAATTTTGTCCGGCGTCGTCGTTGTTGTTGTCGTCGTCGTCAATAATTGTTATTGTGTGCATAATAACTTTACTAATTCTATTCCAAACTTTATCAAACTTGGTCACCTTATTCATCAGTATAAAGTCTTCCCTGAGTTTGAACAACAGATGTCCTGTATGAAAATATCAAGCAAAAATTGAGAAAATCTCATAAAATATTTTGACTGTTTCTACTTGACTGATCACTGGTGATACACATCAAAGGTCACTGATCTCAGTGGAAATATGCATTGTTGTATGTGTTCAATGAAGCAAATGATTTATCTTGTAATAATATCCGTGGTAATGTATCTCAGAATCCCATACTGGGTTTCAAAACCAACTCATGGAGAGATTGCAGTCTGATACACATTTGCAAACCTACCAATAAAATCTTTACAGAAAACAAGATGTCAGAAAATCAGTATAAGCACTGCTATGAACTGGGTGCCAAACTTTGATCAAGATCTGAAGCTAATAGAAAAACTTTTGACTAAACAGATATCAAATCAAAAACAATACATAAAAAATACATTAAAAGCAAAACATTTCATCCACATTTTGAAACTCGCAGGAATATGTTTCAGCTATTAGAACAGAATGATAGTTTTTATAATACTGGTTTAAAAACTCACTTCAAACAAAGATTGCAGTGTTTGAAGATGTAGGTTCTCAGGAGGCAACAGTACTGTTGACTTCTCCCTCCACTGGACACCAACTATTTAAGTTGATTTGCATACAAAGCAGAGCTTGCAACATGATAGCTGTTCATAAAGGGTGTTTTTTTTTTACTTTTCATATAATACAGTAGTCACACAATGAGGCAGTTCATATTTGTCTCGGTGAATCATTAATTTTTGACAGACACCTGTACAAAATACTTGGACAAAAGCCAGCTAAAATTTTTTGTTATCTTGCATGTTTTATGAATCTATTCACATCTAAATGCAGCACTTTTTTTTTTCAATGAGACATTTGTTTTTATACTAAAATATCTGAATTACTTTGAAGAAAGCTGGAAATTATGTCCCTTAAAATAATTAAACAAATAAGGCCCCAATGTTTTTGTAAGATATTTACATCTTTTAAGGACATTCGGTAGACTGATTCCCCACTGTTGGTTCAACCCCAAAACTTGTTTGTATTCAAAATTAATTATGACAATGCATATTTATATTAAAACAAACTATGATAAAGGGAATTATATTATATAACAAAGGACAAGGTCACCAGAGTTCAACTATGTTTAAGTTGTATTATCACAAACTTGCACAGAACCGTTGTTGCATCAGTGGAAACGAGATCACTGTTCATAAAAAATATTCAACTAATTCCTGCACTTGTTGCAGTAGCTGTGACCTCCATAGAGTCTAAACAAATGTGTAGTAATTCATTCATAA